ATATAACGCAAGTAACCATCTAATAAAAATAATAGGAAAATTATTCGGGAAATACGAAACGATTATCAAACAAAATATCAATGTCTGGCCGCCGTTTACAACGAATAGAGGATTGTTACAGGGCGATCCGTTTTCACCATATCTTTTTAATTTTTTTCTTTTTGATCTAAATAATTGTTTTGAAAGAGAGGAAGACGGAATTTATATTGATAATCTAAGCATACATTCAATAGCATACGCAGATGATATTGTCCTATTAGCACCAACAGCTGTAGCATTGCGAAGAAAAATTAATCAAATATCTGAATACCTGGAAAAACTAAAAGTAAAAATAAATCCGAAAAAGTCAGTAGTAATGATTTTTAGAAACGGAAGTAATCTACCAAAAAAACACATGTCGTTCTACATTAAGAAAGAAAAAGTGAAAATAGTAAACGAAGTTAAATTTTTAGGAATAATATTTACACCTAATTTATCATTTGAGAAACATTATAAGAGTACAATAAACAAGGCAAAAAATTTAATTAATAATTTAATAGTGTGATAATCCGAGGGTGTTCTTGAACTATTTCCATAGTTTTATCTCTAACAGACTTTTATTTTATTTTTAATAAACTAAATAATTTAGAAATTCATTTAGTAAATTTATTTAGAAACTCATTTGGAAATATATAGAAATTATAAAGTTAGTGGGAAATAATATAACATATCCTAATAAGGCTAGAAACTTTTACATCCTGTAAAATCTGCTCTGTCATGTCACTATTAACCCGAAAAGAGGATGTTTTGTATCCTTTCTCCACACCTCATATCTTAGAATTTTGCACACAACCCGCTCTAATGTCATAACTGTTCCTAAGAATTGATATTATGAAATAATTGGGGACAAAAGGGCCAGTTGGCCAACACTCGAGGCAGTTCCTCCTGGATAGAATTGCCGTATGGAGTGATACACCTGCCTCAGCCGATCATGTCCTCGGGAAAGAGACGTATGAAATAGGGAAGGGAAGGAATGAATAGGTCCACCATGACCAACGAGGTAATATTATTGATGTAAAACTCTCTCTCTCTGAATGGGGTAGTATTAATTTGTAGAAGAAGGACATAGCTAGGAATATCCATACTATGTATACTCTTGATAATATTTGTGTATGTTATCCTTGTATTCAACTAGTGTTAATCATTAAATAGTTAATTTCATGTATAACTTGCCTGTCTGGTTTCTGTTACTTATGCACTAACCCACACAGAATCTTACCACTCGGGTTCTATAAATTAAGCCATCCAGTGACAAGGTGAGCAGGTCTAACAGATCTGACGATTAGAGGGCCTAGACCCTCGTCCGTATTCTCACAATAGTATTATTTTGTAAAATCAAAATGAAGAACGTACATACACAATTTCAGCTATTCAATTCTGTGGTAATGAATTCAATGGGTTATGCTTCCCCAATTTGGAGCATAGATAAATTTGATGAATTAGAAAAAATACAAAACATATTCATTCGTAGAATATTCCAATTGGAATACAATGTCCCAGGCAGTGCATTACGACTAGAAATTAATAGATACAAACTAAACACAATTTTGATAAAAAGATATATTAAATGGCTTAAAAAAATAATTACTTCCGAAAATTTAACAACTAAAACACTGTATTTATTATATGAAAAATCAAGAGGTACCGACTTTAAACGTAACTGGATACTACAACTATCAAAGATTTTAAACACATATGGGTTTTCTATAGAATTATTTTTGGATCAGAATAACAGTTTTGAACAACAAAGTAAGTTATTAATATATAGAGTAATGGAACATTCCATCGTACAAGATATTGAAGACATTCAAAAAAGAACAAATAGAAATTGGTATAAAATAATTTTAAACTATCCATCAATCAATGATTATATGCTAACAAATCTTGCTTTTAATGTTAAAAAATTCTTTATGCAGTTAAGATTAAATCAAAACAGTATAATGTTGGGAAATAAATACATAGAATATGCGCAAGTCAAATGTCCAAATTGTGATATGCCACTATCAAAAATACATATTTTTAGTGAATGTAACAATGAAAACGATAATGCTCATAATTCCGAAATTAAGTCAATAATTAATTGTACAAACGAGATAGAAATGTATAAAGTATTGAACAAAGCAAATGCTAATACTATCTTTAATCTTTATAATTATATAAAGAAATTTTTTCAAACTGTAAACGGTTAATTAAGAAATTAATCTAAACTAAAATATAATAAATAATAAATAAATAAAATGTTAGATACAAATAAATATATACATACTATATGTAATGAAGTTATTGATTGTAAAATTATAGTCTAATAATTTATTTTAACTAACACGTCTCTGTAACAGGCGAATGCCTAATACGTTAAATAAATGATGATGATGATGATATATATATTATATTTATTTATTTATTTATATATATTATATTGTATATACGTGTGTGTATATATTTATAATAAAGTGAAATGAAAAACATAGATGTTAATAAAAATAGTTAAAATATATTATAAAATAAAGACAATTGACATACGATACAAAAGATATTGCGTAACCACAGTCTTCTGCCTTGTTTTGATTAAACTTTTAATATTTTTACTGTTCTATTTACATATAATAAATCAAATATTCTAAACTTTCTAATAAATAACTAAAAATAAATCAACTATTACTCGATAAACATATATGAAGCATTATTTAGAAAAATCTAAGAAATATGTAATATTCAATATAAAAATCTGTTGGTTTAATTTTACTAACCTATTAACCAAGCATTATTATTTGTTTGAATTCTTCCCTCTATAAAAGCTCGTCTTAAGTTGCAGCTTTTCCATATAAATGAATCATGTGTTGATCCAGGAAATTTTGCATTAACGCTNTCTTCAAAGCTGCAGCTTACATTGTATATATAAAAAATAATGTTTATTCAAAATTCTTGTTAAAAATTACACTTCAAAAGTGTAACCTGCATATACTAATCTTCACGAAACTTTTATATATTTATATTCAAAGCTATCATTTTAATTTATACATATGCGAATGAAACCTATTTCAGAAATAATGTTCATGCTATAGCTACTTACTTTAAATTTGAACAAAAAAGCAATTATTCATAAATAGTTAAGGTAATTATTTTTAAGCAATACAACAACTTAGTTTATTAACATTAAAAAGCTACTTACTTTTATTTCTGCAGATAGAGCATTTTTCTTAAAACACTTTGGCTCTAGCGTATCTCGTAATGCATTACATACATATATAACTAATGGTTTCGGAAGACGATAAAGTTGTTTAAATCGTGTATCGTTCAGCCGAAAAGCATCAGCTCGAAGATTAAATTGAGATTCGCGACGTCGAATTCTAATTTCCTCTCTCTCCAATTGTTCACGAAGTAATATCATTCTCACACCGAGCGACGCCATGTTGTTTAGACTTTCATTACGTTCCTAACGGCAGGTTGAGAGTGACCGATGACAAAAGCTTAGTTATCACACGTGGCTATCGGGACCAAAAACAAAACGTACGGCTCAGAATAGCATTTTCACGGTTGATTAAACGCGAATCACGTGGTTCTGAAAGAAACTGGTTTTTATCATATCTGTGAAATTCAAAGTTAATAAAAGCATTTAATCCTTTAAAAGTTTAATAAATTTAAAATAAAAATGCCCTCAACCAAAGGAATTTGACCCTGCAAAAACGAAATATAAAATACATGAGAGAATTATAACTCTTTTTGTTTAACTATAAACATTCTCACGATCAAACCGTATATAGTTTACAGTTATCGGCGAAATTTGTCATATTGTTGTCATTCTAACACCACTTTAACCCCACACCTGCTAAAACAATTGATCACCTGACGAATTTTCCCACCAAAAAGGTATAAAAGCCATCCTCCTTCCCCTTTCGGGGGAGTCACTGATCAAGAAGTCGCCATCGCGCCAACCAGACGGACATTCGCTTCCCGCTGACCTGCCGCACAACATATTAGAAGACCTTCGATCCCAACTCTCAAATTGGATCCCGCCTTTCAGAAATTAAAGGCCTTCGCTATCATCGCAAGAGGTATGAACGCTTTATTGTAAACTCTCTCTCTCATACGTGAATGAGACGTACCGTGTTAGAACATTTGTTTTATTATTTGTCTGTAATAAATTGTTAGTTTAGAAAAATGGTGTCTTTATTCGACTATGCCAACGCCTTATCGTTGACCCCTCCAACTCTCCTCCACTCGCATAACGCGTAACCTAACGTTACTACCATCCCTGACAAGAAAGTAGGTCACCGACCAGTGGCCGGAAGTAGAGGACTCCTCTTCCCTCCCGGTGGCTCACATATCCGTTAGCTTAATGATACTACTAAGAATAGGTCCCCAGGTCAGTAAATATTGTTCTACTTAGAAAACTTGTCTTTCTAAATCACTCACTACATTGAAGAAATAATAATTACTTTAAATAATTGTTGAAACGTTTTATCTGTGTATAATTATGTAAAATATTCAGTTTTATTAGATATTTTTATAATATTTTGTATAATTTAATTTACAGTTATTTTATATTTAGTTGAACCTTAAAATAAGATCAAAATTGTTCGACTATTCATTATTGGATTAGGTTTCATGAAATTTACTGTAAGACAGTTAATTTCTGAAAATTTGCATTTCTTTAGAAGTTAATGAATCCAAAGGACTTGTGTAATGAAGGATTGTGCATTAATAACATTAATGCTTCAAACAATAAAATATTAAATGTTATTATTGCTTGTAGCATTGATGTTATTAATGCACAATCCTTTATTACACAAGGATTTCCTTTGGAATCATTAACTATTAATACTTATTTCATTAACTATAAAATATTAAATATTATTATTGTTTAGAAAATTTTTTTATAATTATCATTACACTATGTTAGTGGTCAGAGTTGATAGATGTACTGAGTTGTTTATTCATTTATTTATTTATTTATTTAGTGGCCATTGAAATTTAATAAAGGAATTTGTCCACTCTGTCATCAAAAACGAAGAAATGAAACAGTTCTATCCACCAGTGGGTATGTATATTATGACAGAATACAAATACATATATAAATATTGAATTTAAGAATAAAACATATTAATGATTTGCTGTAGCTATACAAAAAGTCAAAAGTAAAATAATGAATATACTGGATGATTATAATTGAAGTACTACTATTCAATGCTGTCTAGAAATTTGCAGAGGCAATCAAATCTGGTATGGTGCCTTTCAGGACATCTGGAAATCATTTCCATAAAAAAGTTAGTACTAAAATTTATCATTATGGCCTCTAGGTGTTACATGCAATGAAAAAAGAGTTTCCTTTGCATAAGGAAAGGCATTGCAGTCAAGTATTGGGTATTAAATACCCAATACTTGGTTGCAAATAGTTATAATGGTTGACTGTCATTCTTATCAGCTATGATAGACATCATCTTGCCAACATATGCATTTCTTGTGAAATTATTTTATAAAAACAATGGCATATTATGGGTATACTTTGAGAATTTTGTCATCATAAGAATTTTTGCCAAGGACTAGTGACTCCACAAGCTCTTAAGAGAATGGTTATTTAATTGGAAGAACTTGATGTCTAGGAGTTCATCCTGGTTGAAGAGAGAAAGCTATCACAGCACAGGTTATTGAAGATGCTACCACAACTGTTGAACAGTCAATGAATAACATTGCATGCCCCAGTAGTGCACGTGAAGCATCATGGTAGTTGGCATATCCTATAGCAGTGTCGAAGATACTAAGAAAGTTGGTATGTTGTTGTCCATACAATATTAGTCATACCAACAGTTGTTTGCGCCAGTAGGGAATCCAACTGACCTTTGCATTAACTTTCCTTTCCAGAATAGAAGTATATTTTCTGTGTGGATTGAGAAGACACATTTTCATCACTGCGAAACAGTTAAAATCTGTTACTGTCACCATTTGGACCTCAGAAAACTCTCATGTTTTTCAACAAATTCCATTGCATTCTAAAGTTACAGTTTGGTGTGGATTCATAGTCACAGCTGCAACAGTGACACTGCCTTGAGTCAATTTCTTCTGTACAATTTACTCCTTACATATTGGTTTCTTCAACAATATTTCACTGATAATAAAGTGATTAATCATGTATTTTCTATTGTCTGACCACTTTGTTCTGATCTTAATCTGTGTGATTTTTGATTGAAGGGACATAAAAAGTGTAGTTTATTGAGGATATTTTGCAAGTTTGGTGGCATTTAATGACAGTATCATACAGCATGTGAAAAGCATCACAAATGATCATTTACAGTCAACTGTTGAATACACTGTTCATTGGTTTTAGGTTTTACATCTTCAGAATGGAAACTATGCTAAGCAGTTCTCACTATATGTATATGTCTTATATGTTAATTGCTTGCAGTGCCAAAAGTGCCTTAGTGGTTGGTTTTGATATTAATTATTTGTATGGAAATGTCACCATACTAGATTTGGTTGCATTTTCAGTGCTAAATATGCCTCTAGAAAGTTCAAATTATGAATAGATTATAACAAAAAAATTTCTTTCAATTTAAAAAGATAAAAGTAATAAAAAGCATTCTATAAATTTCCAAATAGACTTATTACTTGGTTGAGATTTTATGAAGTTTTTATTTTATTTTAAATACATTGATTTAAACCCTTCAAATATTTATTAATCCATAAAACAAAACAAGAACTTATCAGGATCAATAATCCATTACTACATAATGTTTGTAACAATTCATGTACTATACAGTAAGTCTCATTACTCAAAACTGCATAGAAGAGAACAGTGATTATAAATAATGATAAATTAGTATCAAACTATAAATAATAATAAATAAATACCCTAAAACTTGGCTGTAGACTATGACTTATACAAGGTTATATTTGTAAAATTATTGTATGTGGTCTATACAGAAGGATGACTAATGCATGAAATATCTGATTACTGGTAATTACTTAACTACAGTGTAAAAATAATTCAGTAAAATTTCCATAAAAAATTGGAATTTTTATTTTCATAAAATTTATTACAGCAAGTTACATTTTATAGGATGCATTGGCATTGTCATCCATCAAAATCATTATCTAACAACTTGTTGCCATCAGATTCTGAATTGATTGACAAAATATCACCATTGAAATTCAATATGGTTTCTGTAATCTGGTCTAAGATCACATTATCACCAATTCAATTCTCATCATCATTCTGCTGGTCAGTGATTTCATTGTGGTAGTACATTTCAAATTCTGCCTTTTTAAAACCTTTTTTTATGGCAGGTTCTGATATATCTTTCCAGGGATTGCTACACTCACTGAGAAACTGTTTCATAGGATGCATGTCAACAATTTCCTGATTGGGTAACAGTGGCTGCCATGTCATCAGTTATCCAATTATCCCAACACTATTGCATAAAGATTTGTTGACTGCAGTATTGAAAGTTTGTAGTATTTTCTGATTATTTCCAACTAGATATATTTATGAACTTCAGCGTTCATTTCATCCTATAAATTCATTGCATTTGTTATAGATTAGAAGGCATTCTTCAGGCTTTGATTTCTTAAAAAAAAAAAGCAGTTGAAAATGTTTATACCATATATCCTGCAGCCACTGTTTTATAAAGTTGGCATTCACTCAATTATTTATTTTCATGACAATTTTGGGTTGGAAATTTTTTGTAGGAAGAATACTCGGTTTAAACATTGCTATTGGAGCCAGTTTTTCTCTGCTTACAGAAACTGACAAAATTAGTGCAATTCAAGACTTTTCTGCTCCTGTTGTTTTTATAGAACTATCCTCTTCACTTTTTATGTTTATACTGTGAGTTTCTGGAAAATCGAAACAGTGTGGAACCTTTTCCATATTAATCACATCTTAGATGCATTTTACAACTTTAAATCAGTAACTAATAAAGTTAAAATTCAGAGTTTTGGATCATTGAATCACTCATAGAGTTCCTTTATACTTGCAAATGCAGAATTTAAACTATTTAATGTTTATTGTTATTGTATGATGAAATTACAGTAATATTAAATATCAACTGCATAATCTNAGAAACTATATTACATACAAATGTACGAACAAATAAAAACCCAGCGAAGCGAATCCTTGCAGCTAGTATATCAATAAAACCGATGATAAACACTTGAGGCCAAAAGCAATTTCGACAGAACATAATGATTTTGCGCAACCGAGTAGACCAGAAAACAGAACCTTTTCTTATTAAAGGCCGCACATAAAACTTTTAAACTGAAGCGAGCTGCATAAAAGAAAACAATAAAAAACAACAAAAATGATGGTAAACCATAATTATTTATTTCTTGGGAATATGATTATAAATAAACATGTTAGTCACTGCTAGTTATAAATTAGTTTTAATGTAAGTTACTTAGTCGAACTCCGTGAAATTTGATACTCAGGTCGAAAAAAATTAGCAGATGAGGCCGATCATATATTTTGTCCGGATTTTGCATATAGGGGAGATCGAGGCAACTTCGGCATGCGGGGCAAGTTTGTCAAGCGCTTATTTTTAAAAACAAATTAAAAGGAGACTTTGGTTATAGGTTAGGCAGTTGAGTTTTATTGGTGGCTTGTTGAGTGTAGTGTTTTTATTGTTCTCCAACAAGCGTAGTTGAATTATCAAGCAAATTTTCATTTTCGTTCAATTCCATATAATATTTTTTTTCCATTTATATTGAATTGGCAGGTTTTGTTATAATTCCATGATAACGAAAGTTACTTTTCCTGTTAGAAGGATGTAACTTCAACTTATTCACGTGGCCAGATCGTGGCTTGGCATTCTGTTCTCAGGGTTGTACTTAATGTTTCGAAATCATGACTAGCGGGGTAAGATCGGCAACATAAAGCCACATTAGAAGCAAAGGATAAAAATCAAACAGATGATAAATGAAAACATGTTTGCATTTGTTATTCATGTATATATGTCTTTGAACTTGCATTTCGTTGTAATAATATTAAATGGGTGTTGGATTTGTATTTCTTTGTTTTAATAGTGAATTCCAACTTATACATTGTTAATAACATAATTTTATATACGTGCCTATCTTGCCCCATTACTGTTGCCCCTATACCAGGGGCAACTTTAATAAAAATAATTAAAATAATTACAACTTTACAAAAAGAGAGAAGTTGCCGATCTTGCCCCTATACCCGGGGCAACTTCGTCAATTTCTCTCTTCTTGTAAAGTTGTAATTATTTTAATTATTTTTATTTCCAAACTGATTTTAACCAGTTCTATAGTAAGGAAACATTCCAATAGACAATATGCAAAGCTTTTTTTTTCAGTTTACAGCAGTATTTATTACACAAAATTTAAGTAAAGCTTAACATGCAGATCTTGCCCCGATCTCCCCCTATTTATAGTTTTCTAATTAATATAAATTAATAAATGTTTTAGCCGTTCGTTCGTTCGTTCTCTCTATCACTAGAGGCTATTGAGCCTTATTACTATTGAGCCTTAAAATTAATAAATACAGGAAAAACATTCCAGGTTTCTCTTTTATGTAATAAATAAATATAATTTATATTAAGCCGAAACAATTACTGGATACGAACTGAAACATTAGTACTTAATACAAGCAACAAAATAAACAAAACAAGAGTTTAATTAATGTTATAGAGCCGAACTGCTCTAAAATACACCTATTTTTATAAGACCTTTTCAGGCAGAAAAATAACCGAGTGTTTTATTCACATTGACAATAAAACTTTTTTATATTAATATGGTTTAATTCTCTTATGCGTTCGATTTTTTTGGATATCAGTAGTTAATCGTTTGTTGATTGATTGAACTACTCGATGTATTAATTTGATATATTATTTATAAACAGTATTTAATTTCAAAAATATATGTTATATTTACTTTATTACTGCTACAACAATACTTTCTTAATTTTAATAAGTGCTTACTTGTAGCCTAGTGTATAAATCCACCAAACTGTGATAGTTAGTCGTGTGTTAGGACACGTCCAACACGTGCAGTTTTCTGGGATTTTTTCTCGTTAGTAACAGTTACATAGAGTCTACTTTCCATAAAAGTCTTCATGTGATGCATCCTTTTCGGCTGATCGTTCACGTGCCGCGTTGCCGCAAACAAATTAACCAATTTAATTCTAACCAAAAATTTATTGTCACGTGGTCACAATGCAAGCTGTAACTTGTCACAATTTTTAAATTTTTTAGCTATGTCATGCTCTTGTACATCATACTTTTTCAATTAGCAATAAAATCGTAACGCTCGTTTAAGTCCATACAAGGGAGAATTTTGAATTGAAGTAATGTTATTTTCGTTTCAAATAAGACGTTTTTATATAGATAGTATAGGCCTCCTGATCTACGCCTTCCGTATTTTGTCTCGCCTTTCATACATCTACCTTTTTTGTCGAGATTAACGAAGCACAGACTCACACACAGACAGTTGACATGTATCGAAATTTATAAGTCTACAATTTTTTAAAATTTCACCTTAATAATTATTCTATAAACGCAATGCTTACAAGAACATAATTCCTACATAGTTTACATTTTGGCAACAGATTTTACAAAAACTTTATATTATTCTGGAATTTTCACAATATAAATGTGTTTTACTGAAAGTTTAAAAACGAAGAAAGTGTAAATTAATATACTCATTATTTTCACCATATTGAAAAAGAGAGAACACCAGAATTACGAATCTGACAGTGAATATGACCGCAGTGTCAATAAAATTGATGATTTTCGTGAGTAATTAGTATTAAATGTTCTATAAGGAATATTAAATGAATATTCATTTTTTTCCTTGCACGTGTTAATTTTTAATTATTCTTATACAGAACAATTCTAAAGGTAAGCAAATTATTGCTAGAACAAATCCAATCAAAAGCAATATAATTGGACTAATAATGTCGGCCAATTGTAATACATGGAATTCTGAATACTTCAGTAACTTTGATGTTTCCGAATGATCTTTTTTCTCGATGATTCCAGCTTCAAACATACGTATTACACTGCAAAATAAATATATTTTTAATTATTTCGTAATAGAGAAACCTCTTACAGGTAAACATAAAGTTATCTTACGTTTTAGTTAATTTTTTTTTTAAGGGAAATCCCTTTCTTACAGCATAAGACTGAACAAATGTAATAAGAACATCTTCGGAAATTATATATGCGTTTGGTTCTTTTTGTATCAGTTTACTTGTGTAAGATTCACTCGCTAACAGAGCAAAACGTTCTTCCTTAACTTTTTCGCTTGCAATCGACAAAGACAAAAAATGATTGTGATGTAGTATGTGATGTTTCAAAATTTTATCTCTTTTCTTGTTGGAATTCTTCAAATAATATGCAGCAAATAAAATAATTATATATCTTACAAGAATAAAGCTTACAAGAAAAATTTACTCAACTAGTTGTCCATAATTCAAGTTTTCCTATTCGGTGCACTCTGTAGCAGTAACCAATAAGTAAATCCTTGAATATAGATTTGCTAACAGTGCAACGAATAATAAAACGTGTCTCGATAAAAATAAACATGAAAATTTTCCGGGCATTTTAAAGAAAAATATACGGCTGGAAACACGGTAAACAGCAAACGGCATCTGTCAGTGAGCCTTCGCAATATTTCCGGACAAATGATACAACGAAACACTCTTAGTTACTTTAATATAAACTGAACCAATACAAGTAGAACAGATAAAGAAATCGTCTTCACATCATGCAATACGTAGACGACATCTTTTCCTCCCTTTTTCCCGCTTGCTTTCAAAAAGCAATAAAAAAAAAGCGTTATACACGAGCCCCCTGCCCAAACATACACTTTTTTTTTCTGAATTAATACGAATGATACCGAATAGCAACATTATCCTACACTTTAATGCTGTTTTAAACATTAAGAATGAAGTCGCTGCAAACAATGACATTCACGGCATTGCAAAGTAAATTATATTCGTGAATAATAAAGAAAATCCCCAGCAACATTCCTTACAACATTAGACATACAATGTAGAAGGCATGTTTCTCGCTGAACGAATAACTACGTTTACATTCCGTTATTGCTGTTCTGTTTCTTGTGGTCCCTATAAAGCACGCCCTAGCAATAGTTTTTAAACTAAACTTTTGTTAAGTAATTCTTTTATGCATTTTTTACATAAACGGTTAACCAATTTTAAGGCTAATTGCTTATTGTTTACAAATACAGTTAGCTCTTAGTAGAAAAACTTCAAATATGGCCACACTGTATTTACCATAAAATAATTCCATACAGCTCCTTTTTCTATAGTACCACAAGAGTATTCACCATTTTTGACAGCATTGCCTAGTTCGTCGAAAGTTTTTGGAACAGATTCGGTTAAAGGATACGACATGAAAGACATTAAAGTACCACTGTAACTACTTATCAACACTACAACTGATAGCCACCATATTAACACGAGCAATCTGGATTTGAATCTTTTTACGTTATCCAGGTTAATTCCTATTTATAAATATTAATTATTAATATTTATTTTTGTTATTGGAAGCAAAAAAAGGTATACCTTGGTAAACAAATGTGCAAAATAAATTCCAGAACACACGGCTACGTGGCCAGAATATTCCCACTTCGTCAGTCAGGAAATCCCGTTGTACCACTTTATGTAATACTAATCCAAATATGAATAATGTTGAGAGAATCGCAATCCACATCTACAAAGAGAATCGTCAAAATTAATCGATATAAATATTTATTTTTAAAAATAAGTGTTGCTAACTTTTAAAGCTATAAATTCTGAACAAATATCTTTTACGATTTCTATCTTTTGTGCTCTATAAAGGCTTTTATCAGGCTTATTGTGGGTTTGGTGAAGTCCACACTGAGACGCCATCTTGAAAGACGATGCCTAAAATATCGTTTCGGAGTACCCCCAAAAAGTTCCTGGAATTTTTCGACTCTTGCATTTCGATCTTTTAGAGCAGTAAGCTTACGGTAATACCAATTTTGGTCGATTGGAGTCCGTATTGGCAACCCAATATAAATGTTAAATACTTACATCTAAACCAAAAGGTTTTATTATTGAAATCCAATTTGGAATTTTTTTCGGAGCTTTGATGACAAATAGAACCGTCTGAAACGCTAACGGAGAAGTAAATTCTACTGCTGCAAAACGGGTAGGGTTGAGGAATACACCAATGAAGGCCATATCGGCGTCCTAAATTTAAAACATAAACAATTATTTGTATTTTTTTGAAGGAATAAGGCACGCAACAGATATAAAAATATACCAGATTAAATATATGCTTCAACAAAATTACTTGAACAATAACTATTTATAGGTATTAATTACAGGAATTAAAACATATGTTATCACTAGTGCACAAGCGGATAAATTAACTGAGTGCTGAATACATAATTTCGTGTGCTTGCTTCAACAACAGCTTGGGCAAAAAAGTTTTTCGGGTCTTATACGCGTTTCTGACGCAGTGGCGTCAGAAAATGTTTTTTTAAGACGCTAGAAGTATCAGGCTTTTTAGCAAGTATGTCGGAGGATTCTTCTCTCGTTGTTAATTATAATAAGAAAACAAAGAAATTTTTAATGTTGCAAAATACATTTAATGAGATAAAACATAGAATAATGATTAAAATAAATGAACATTTTAATAACAACTCGGAAATACATGCCGCATTGACCGAAAACTTTGTTTGTTTTATCCATAATCTGATATATAGAGGTCCGTTATATGAATTAAGCAGCATGTATAACTGAGAACTCTTTTTCCTGGCTTTGATATTTGCAACAGATATTTAACCAAAATGGTTGATATATAATTCAATAAAATATTTAACTTGTGAGATGATTATATCTAGAGTGTAGAAGAACACGATCATTTTAAACTGATGTTTTTTGTTTTGACGGCGATTATTACGTGCCAACTCATGAAAATGAGTGTGAACGATTCAAATGCTTTTTTACTCGAAAGAGCTATTTATTCCCTATTGTCCAGCAAGTTCGTGAAGCTTATGATTTTTTTAATAGAAAAAGTTTCAAAATTTTTTATTTGTTCAAAAACTCGTTGCAAATACGTTTTAGCCTCAGTTAAATCAGTGCGCGTATTTTGAAGCAATTTGAATGTGTATTTAATTTCACACATCACTTTATGCAAAAAATCACAAGTTCAGATTTGTCCATTCTCTTTTTAATTCTTATTGCTATTAATTTTAGTTTTAAGGTTTATTTCAATGATAGCTTTCAATATATCTAAAAACAGTAGCGTAGCGTGGGTGTCAGCCGCCCAGGGCAGAGGAAAATTTAAAAGAATAAAATTCTGTTTTGTCACAAGATAAGTGAAGAAAAATTCCGTGCTAGTGTTGCCACCTTTTTAAAATCGCTGACCCGGACAGCAGGTGAGGTTGGTTTAAACAGAAGTTTCAGACGCATGCGTATATCATTTTGCAATGCGAAGAATAATTTGCAGTGCATGCCGGTTCTAAATCAGTTACAGTAAGCGACTAGAAAGACTTGGAGAGGAGTAACGGAAGTGGATAGCTCTATTAGACATTGCAGGTGTATATGATTACGAATGGATCGTACAAACAAAAAAGAAAAGGTCGACAGGTTGCGCACGATATCTCCGGATGGCGAGTCGAATGGTAACACTATTCCGTGCTCATTTCAATCGGTCCGAATCGTAGGTGGACAACAATATGTAATAAAATGGTTCAAATTCTTACAAGATTTTATTATTATTTATTGTGAAATTTTGCCGCTCTCTAAAACGAATTTTTCCGGCCCCTAAAAAGTGCCGTTCGGGGCGACCGCCTCAGTCGCCCTCCTACGCTACGCTACTGTCTACAAAACTTGTTTTCCATGAAGTAATTCATTTCAACCTACTAGCCCAACGTGTTGGATTTAATATTTTTGAAGTTATCTGTGACCTAGCAGTAAAGTTTGATAGAATATCCCAACTCTTCGCAATATTTCCAAATAATACGTAAACATTTTCAAGAGTATTGTAAAAAGTCGAGTTTACGTTTGAAACAACACTAATTTTTAACAAATGTTTCTAACTGAAGACCACAAAAATAGTTTTCTAAATCGAATATAACAGCACAAGGTCCTCCATTAGTTTTTCTCCTCCAAGGGAGTAGCAACGTGTTCACTTAAGCTTATTTCCCGAACTTAGTTTTGACGCGGTAGAATAAAAACCGAATATAGAAACCTTTCAATTTATACATTGTATTAACTATATAACATATTGTTACAAATTTTTAAATTAATACTTTTCAGTAGAGAATAATATCGTATTTTCGTGTATATAACCCGCTGGTTATCTATGTTGAAAACAATTGAACAGGGATACAAGTCATACGATCGGGTGGGAACAGAGCATATGTATGCTAGAGATGACAATACCGAAGTGTTTTTCTGTGTCCTTCTTTTTGTTATAATGCAACGAGTCATTACGATGAAAATACGGTAATAATAAACCTCATTTTACTAACAATACATTACAAATTACTGTAGTATATATTTTATCAATATATTTTTACATTTATCCATATTTGCAGACATTCACAAACGTACATGTCTATAGTTTCAATTTGCCTACCTTATTTACCATTTTTCCAATTAATCCAGTCCACGAGCCGTTTTCAGTCAGATATCCAAATGCTTTAGGTATTGGTTTTACAAGAAAATAACTACTTAAATGAAATTAGTTAATACTCTTTGTTTATTTATTTGTTTAATATCTCGTCAATGCAGTTGTAATATTTACCTAAATTTTAATTTCTGTTGAATAGCTTTAAAGACGTGAAAGTGCATTCCATCTGTGATTTTTTCTTCTGTTTCGTCCAATGTCATAAAAAGCCGTTTCTGCAATGTGTAAACCACGTCGTAAGAACATTAAAATTAATTATTAGAAAAAAGTCGACTTACCTGAACACCAACAATTTTCCATTCATTCGAAATATTCTTTGCCCCTATGAAGAATTCACGAGAATTAGGATTTTTTGTAAAAATGTCATATAGACAAATATATAATAGAGAAAATATCTACATCGAATACTTCGAAGTTAAATAATATATACAACATTGATGTAATGTATCTATTTCTTTATTGCACAAGGTGTTCACAAGGTGTCACTGTACATTTATGCCGGCTCTTAGTTGCACGCTGCAATCAATTAGTTGCATTAATAGCAATGTGATGATTACAGTATAATAAGTAATTTATTCAATATGCGACGTTTAAATTTACGTGGAAATATGTACAAAGTAAAGTTAAAATTTAGGTTTCTTTTTTACAAATCTTGTAAAGACATACACTGCCAGTAACTTTTTGTGTCGTCATGCGGCCTGCTTATTGATAATATTGTCAGAATGTGTTTTGTTCTCATTAATACCAGTGTGAAACGATCATATTTTATGGGAAAAAGAGACCAAATGCATGAATTACAGCAGATATATTTCATAAAAGCTTTTCTGGCTGTACTAAGACTAAGACTTTTAAACGTATTCAACAGATAAATGAATGAATAACACTGTTCAGGGATTAATTTTTATTGGCTTTTTCCATTACTGTCAAAGATTATTTATACTTTGTGTTCAAATATTAAAATTGCGCTTTGTTATCTTTGCACTCAGTAAGTGAAAAATTTACATATTGCTGCAAAAGTACTCCGCGATATACAAATGTCTTTTTGAACAAATGAATTTATTTTGCTTCAAACATTGAAACTAATACATACCCTTATTGATTGCAGCGCTAAGACTGACAGAACAGTGAGATTTCGAATAAATCTATTCAAAGAGTTACCTTTCGCGTGTCTTGAAATATCAGCATGCCAAATTTTAATTTGTTTGCACTAGTGAATATCTCTAAAGACAGCTTTGAATAGCGATACTTTTAGTTAAGATCACTCAGTACATACAATCATATTTTTAAAGTTCACAAATATCTAAAAGTAATTAAACGTTTATAATAACAGGTATAAAAAATACAGTATATCACCATATTCTTCAGCAGAGAAAAAGATATTCTTACAATTATCAAATGCAAGATAGTTGTAAAATATAGTTTCATTATCTACGTTAGAGCCAACTTATAGAATCAAAAGAATATTAGATTAGAATCTGCAGCAGATAAATATACACAAGGGCAAGTAAGAAAACCACATTTTACAACTTATTTCATTGTAATTTTGACTTCATTATTTTTAAGTTGCGGTGATTTAACACTCGTTCTGCACTTATCATAGCAATTACTAGCGCAAAAGCTGAAAATATTTCAATATAATAAATGTGATATGTATAAAAATGAAAAACGCTTTAACTATTGAACGTATATCTAAATTTACAAACAGCGCCAAAATCCTCCGCTGCGACAAGAATAAAAACAGTGCGAATACAACAATTTTCCTGGCGGCGAACAAACTTACTAGCAGCTAACTCACCAGTGGCCAAGCGGTTTTGTTCCCAGAAAACTGGGAGTTCAGTCATGGGTTCACGCTTTGCAGGATGGGCTGAATACGTGAATTTTTCTGGGTTTTTCCACGTCGTAATACCTAAATATGTGCCATTTACCTTTAAAAAGTTATTTCGGTAGGCATCGTCTATGCACATCGCTCAAATGTTCCGTTGCCGTAACTTAATAAACAAACAAATTTACTAGCAGCGCGATCGAATTGCCTTCCTACAGCTATACAAATATATAAAATCCATGTACAAACGAAGCAAGCCTAACGGCTACAAAAAGCTGATCAATGTTACTACATTAATTTTACCGTTAGGAATGTATATGAAATCTGCGTGAAAGATATGAAACTTTTAAATATTGCCTCACATTTTACAGGCACCGCTTTGTTTACTTTGTTTTTACAAATGAATTTTAAAAAAATAAACAAAAAGGCAGAAAATCCGTAGGACTAAATTGAAGAAAAAAGAGACGAGTTGCCTAACTCTCCTGGCAACATTTAAAACTCCGTATCTGCAACCATTTGTTACGGTATTTTATTTAAAAATCTGTTTATATTCTTAATTATTATAAAATAACAAAAAGATTAATTTTGTCAGCAAGGATGGTTTTATTTTAAAAAATTGTAAATTGTAATAACGAGTAAAATCTTTAATAAGTCCAACCCTACTCAACATATGAGAGATCACCTCTTTTATCTCTCCACCCCGTCGACTTTTGACCTCAAAAATTTAACAGCATCAATCTTTCGATTATGCAAACTTCATTACGAAATACTTCAAATTTCCCACAGAAAGCACGGGAGTTATTAAGCTAAAAGTGGGTAAACAAAATTGAGCAACACACACACACAAACACATACAAACAATGCCAGCAAATTAAAAACTTATTATTAAAATTGAAAAATGGAATTATGTGTTATCGAATGTTTTATAAAACATTTGTTACAAAAGTGTTGATAACCAAAATATTTTCGAATATAGTTATTAACAGTTACAATATTAAACTGTTTTAATAAAAGTTCAAATACAAACAAACTGTAATTTAAAATTTAGAATTCGAATCTGGAGGAATCGATAAATACCCAGAAATTTTTTGACGGGTAGTCTTCTGAATATATATCACAAATCAGTCGTCCTAGTATGGGTCTGGCTCACACTCACAATGCACTTACTAATAAAGGTCTTCTTAGTAGGGCTCACAAGGCAGAAGGAGCAAAGAAAAGTGAAAAAATCTTGATCACTTTATGATAGTGATAAAACTATAAGTAGAAACGAAACATACAAGAAATTTGAAAATTGTAATGCATAAACTGTACACAATTTCATCAGATCTAATGAAACTTAATCTTTTTCCTCTGCTTTTCGATTTATCGTAATTTTTTTCTGTTCCTTTTAGTGTGGACAGCCCCTTACATATAATAGTTTTTTTTTTTATCACTAACAGACAGTTTGATAAATAAATGATCCATGATTTAATAAAACTGGAATAATCAAATGAACCTCATCAAATTTTTTTGAAATTTGAATATCTATCCGATAAAAGATAGATATGCAATAGTACCTTTTACTTCCGATGATTCTAATTTTGAAATACACTAAAGTAGACATCGGTAAATATTGTCGGAACAGCTTCAGCCTTGAAACTACGAGAAATAATTCTATATGGAGAGTCGAAAAAAATTCAGTTCCAGAACTACAAACACATTCTTAATTTAGTAATTTTATGAATACTGCTTTTAACGAACCAGTGAACTTTCTATCTGCATTTGAACATAAAACTAATTGACAATGTTTTATAACTTTTAACCTACCGTTGTTTTGGTTATTACGGGAGAAGAATAGGGAGATCATATTTCAAAAAAAGTCTATATTTTTCTGCCAAATCCCAGAGAATAATTATAAAACATTTAAAACAACTCAGGCAAAAGATTTAGGAATTAATAAGGAAATGAAATCAGAGAAGGAGCATGATTTACAGGTTTAAATTTATATGTTTAATATTTCGCCATGAGCCACTGAGAATATGCAAAAAAATTTAGTGAAAATCAATCAAAAAGCTTAGATCAGAGAGAGACAAATATTCTATAATATATCTACATACATATACTATAGTATGTATAAAAAACAAATGAAAAACCGTCGAATTTGACAGCAATTCCCACAGAACATATGCATATGTAAACACTGCAAATTATTTTTCTAATTATTTTATAATTTGTTTATAATATAACATTACTACCAGATAAGTATGGCGTTGCTAAGGCATGAGGTAACAATAAAAAACTTAAGATAATTAGATTCTGCCAATCTTGCAGTTTTCTCTGGGTGTAAGAATTTGAATTCCCGTTTTCCGAGGCAAATTGCAGAATATTTAGATGGGTCTAAAAATGCGTTTGAATTCCAGCAAACGCAGTAAACCACATCTAAAATCTACAGTAAAAGACAAGTTTTTAAGAGTAATTTCCAACTCTGTCCTTCTCCTCCTGATGAAAATTTCGAAAACTCCTTTTTTTACTGTATATTCCGTGTAGTACCCTAACTCTGTACCAAATTTCATTTTTCAAATCCTAACCGATTGGGCTTTATGCTTATTAATATAATTACTGCATTACCAACCCATTCAGATAATATTATGAGATTGAAAAAAAAGGAAGTAAATAGTTCCAGCTATAATAAGGATTTAAGTATATAACATTTGTTAAAGTTTATCAAGCTGTATAACCAATACACAAAATGATTCAAGTGTAAAATTATTGAATATCGGGGACGTAAAATAAATTAATTCGTTTGATAGGATGCATACAGAGACGTTCCCCGGAAAAATGTACGCGTATTCGAACCAGATTCAAATTAAGAGTGCAATCATCACAATTCATGTGGAGACATACGCCGTTAATCTATATATACAATCGACACAGGTTGATAATAACAATTAGTGCAGAGCCCAACGGGTTAAGAGTTGAAAGTTAAAATTTGGTACACAGTTAGAATACGAAAAAGTACACAAAGAATGGATTTTCTGAAATTCCCCGCTGTAAGAGAAAGACAGAATTAAAGCTTCAACAATGGAAGTGTTAAGTAATAATAAGAGTGTTAACAATAGAAAACAAGAAATTATTGTAAAAAGTCTAACATACTTTTAGACCCATCTAAAAATTTTTTAATTAGTGTGGTAACAGGGAGGGAGACCTAATTCTTCCATTCTGTAAAAACGGGTAAGATTTGACTGTAATCTAATAATTGTAATCTTCGCTATGGTTACTTTTTGCCTGAGCAATGTCGGGCTTATCTGCCAGTATCTTTATAAAATGTCCATCGTCGTTCGCCCTGCCAATTAATAGTACTGTTACAATGTCCGATACGATTATATTATATGGAGAGCCGACGAAATGCATGAGAAACAGCTAATAGATTGCATAAGAACAATCTGGCTGTAAAAGTTTAAGACCAGTGCATTTTCATCATATATAATACCAAAATGAAACTGTTAATTTTGCACTCAACTTTTCCGTTAATTTTGTACCGAAGAAATTTATGTATTGCAACAGAACTATCACGTACCATGCATTTAGACTGCAAATAATCTCCATGATAGCAATCGATAGGAAGAATTTTAGTTAAGAATACTAAATACAAACATAAATCTAAAGTTCACCAATATTTACAAATAATTAAACATTTAAAGTAAGAAATATCTCACCATATTCTTCGGCAAACAAGAAAAACATTGTTATAATTATCAAATACAGTTGCAGGATAATTTTAAAATATATTTACATTACTACGGTTTAAGGCAACTTAGTCTAAAGAATGTCAGACTACAATCTGCAACAGAATAATATAAATTACGTCAAAGTTAATATTTAGCGTCAAGATGGAAAGCAAAATCGATATGAAATTTAATTTCGTTTTGGTTCTGCGAACAGGAAAAACCGTATTTTAATTAAATATTGATTCCTTCAAAAAAAAATAGAAAAATTAAACTGGAATTAAATGTTTACAACTCCTTTCACGTTATTCATTTTCTGACTAAATTATATTTGTTATGCAGAAATTGAACAATATGCAATTCTCGATTTGCCAAATATTTGTGTTTACCTAACAATAGACAATTCATTTTTTTGCGTTGATTTGATATGAAAAATCGATGTTATACACGTAACACGTGACAAGGAGTATCCTTACAAGAAAGTTTTCTACGAGTAACTGGAAAATTTCAGTGTCAAGTATGTGACAAGAAGAAAATAACAACATAGACAACTACACGTTGCAATTTTGCATATACCCTTTTTTAATTTTCATAAAATTTTAATTGTTCGAATATTGTGACTTTACCGTCTTTTCAAAAATTTTCATTATTTTACAAACTAATAAAATTGTAAATTTTATTAATTTTGATATCGTATAAGAATGNAACTCTTCAATACTATCATTATGAATTCGCTGGGTTATGCGTCACCAATTTGGAGTTTACGTAAATTCAACGATTTCGAAAAAGTACAAAACAGGTTAATACGTAAAATTTTTAAACTAGAATATAATACTCCAGGAAGCTCTCTAAGACTGGAATTGAATAGATACAAACTGAACACCATTTTAATGAAAAGATGTATTAAATTTTTAATCAAAGTTATTGATGCAGGAGATCTAACTACGAAGTTGCTGTATATATTATACCATAAATCGAGAAATAAAAATTTAAATAGAAATTGGATAAGTAAAATAACGAAAATTCTAAACACATATGGGTTCTCTATGAAATTTTTTATGGAACATACTATCTATAATGTACAACAAAGTAAACTATTAATACAGAGAGTTATGGAAATATCTATTGTGCAAGATATCAAAGATATACAAAAACGAAAAAACTCATTTTGGTACAAAATAATTTTAAAGTACTCAATGAATAATAACTATATGTTTACGAACCTGGCATTTAATGTCAAAAAATTCTTCATACAACTCAGACTAAATAAAAATGAGATTATTATCAATAATAAGTTCCTAAAATTCTCGCAAACCATATGCCAAAGATGTAACAAAACATTATCTAAATTGAATATATTCTGTGAATGTGATAAAGTAAATGAGATCAGTCAAAACTATGATATAAGTATAATAGCCAATTGTTCCGACGAATCTGA